CTCTTCTTCTTCTTTCTTCTCTAGTATGTTCTTCTTCCTTCTTTAATATCTTCTTCTTTCTTCTCTAGTCTCTTTTTCTTTTTTCCATAGCCTCTTATTCTTCTTTCGTCTATAGCCTCTTCTTATCCTTCTTACCTTTCTAGTCTCTCCTTTCTTTCTACGTCACTACTTTCCTCTCTTTATCTCTTCTTCTTTTCTCTCTGAATCTCTTTTTTTCTCTTCTTCGTGTCACCCTCTTCCTCTTTCTTGTTCTTTTTCTTCTCTCTTTCTTATTACCTGAATGTCCTCTTTAGTTCATCGCTTTTCTTTAGAACTTTTTTCTTGTTTCCTTCTTCTTTGTCTTGTTCCTATTTCTTTTACTTTTTTATCCTCGGCTTCATTGTTCTCTATTTGGCCCTCATCAAGTTTCGTTCTTACTTACACTCTCTACACTGGTTTCTTTTTGTCTTCTGTCATTATTTCTCTACTTCTTCTTTAAATATTTCACATTTCTATTATTATTTTCTTTTCTTATTTAATTCATACAAAATCGTCTTTGAACACTTTTCATTGTGTCATTTCTCTTTTTCATATTTTCCCTTTTCTCAATTACATGTACTCGTTCGTTTTCTTTTTATATATCGTAGTTTTCATTTGTATTTTCATTTCTCATTTTCTTTCGTCTTTCATTGGCAGTTCTGTTCTGTTCTAACTTCCTCATATTCTATAATTAACTTGCCTTTAATTTCTTCATCGTTTTCTTCTCTCTTCCTTTCATTTTCGGATTCTGATCTCATTCGTTTATACTTTACCTCCCTTTCGATTTTCTTCTTCGTTTCTATTATTTGTCTTTCATAGGTTTTCCTAAAACAACTTGGCTATATATGGATTATGATGAATGGGGCAACTCACTCGAGAAATTCCGAGATACGGAGAGAACGCTTTATCAACATCTGTACAAAGCAACATCCCTCGTTCCAAATGAAACCAATTTGAATTTTTTTCCTGCAAACTGATCTCAGTTTTCACATGGAATAAATATTTCATATTTTAAAATTTAACAAATATTTTGGATAATTGGATCATGATATAAATGGAAATGAAGTGCCTTCCCTACACGATTAAATTATTTCCCTCATTCAGACGTATATTTATCCAGTTGCAAACGCTAGTTTTATCATTCCCAACTTTACATGCGTTTCTGCTTTGAAAGTGAAATTGGAATTTTAATATCTACTGATATTGAAGAGTATGTGCTCTTATCTCATTAGTAGTTATTGCTGGAATTAAATGATAGTTATCGTATTTGTCTAAATTACCATTTTAGAAGGAGCTTTAACATGTTTTATTAGTATGCCAATAGATATACATGATTACAAATATCTCCAGAGTGTGACATTTTAATTTAAGCTGACAGCGGGGTTAATGTACGTCTTTATCGAGAAACCATTTATCTGAAGGATGTGGTGTGCGAGTAGCTCGTAAGAGGAAGTCTAACGTTTCTTCTGATACGCAGCAAACATTGCGGGTTGCATACTTTCATTTGTGCGTACGAGTGGCTTACAATTGGCCATCTATTATGTTCCGAGTACTTTATTTACTAATAAGTTTCGATGTATTGAAAATTCATTCATATTAAGAAGAATTTAAAGATTCACACACATTATTTTTCAAAATTTATAGAGCAATGATTCACAATCATTCGTCTTGAAGAAATCACAGATATGGAAGCTCAGATTGAAGATCCTCGCTTTTCTATTGAAACCGTCTTTCTGCCAAACTGGTTCACTAGTTCAACCATTTGATTTTATGTTTCGTGGAAGCTAACCCATTGCTAAGCACTTTATTACTGTCTTCTCGATGACAAGTTTTAGTGGGTAAGCCGACAGGAGCTGGTTTGAGCAATGGTATAAACAAGTCAAAATTATGAAAATACATTCATCTTAAAATGTGTGTATGGAAAACATTACTTTTTGATTTACTGACATTTATTTGTCTTTGTGGGTGAATCAAACATTTTAATTTGATATATTTATGTTTTATTTAATAAGTCGCAAGATCTGTTAGGTCACTAGCGACCGCAATGAAAGCAATACAAACTACAATCAACATAATACTATTTTTTATTGTATTAATTGCGCATCTGCCTTATAATGTCTTGCGGTGCATTTCGAAGTTGGATTTTCAATTTTGAGACACGTGCTTACTTTCTCTTCGTTTATTATGAAAAATGTTTCTTCCGTAATTTAAATATAGGAGGAGATAAAAAGTATTCACACAAACATTTTGAGAAGAGGAACCAGGAGTGAGAAGCAGACGGTTGTCGTGGACTGAGAAAGTAAAACATTTAACATCCATACACCATTGTGACAAAAGTGTAAGTGGTGGTTAGTTTTAAAGTTAAACATTGTAGACTTTTTTAAATACATCGGTTTCATAAATTTAGCAGATAACTTTACTCGCTGTGACCTTGATTGACGCAACCCGCTTCATTTCTAGGTGTTAAAAGCTCCTTGTTACAGTGATTCCTGGAATCCTAATGCCACATAAATATTAGCTGAGCACCAAGAAGAAGTGAAGAGAAAGGAGAAGGAAATGAAAAATGGAGGAAAATAAAAAAAGAAGAAATAGAAGAAAAATGAGAAGAAAAATAAAGAAATAGAAGAAAAATGAGAAGAAAAATAAAGAAAATGAAGACGTAGGAAAAGAAGGATCAAAAGAGAAGAAGAACCGATCAGTGCCTTGATCGGGAGGTCCTAGGTTTGAGCCCTGGCGGTGCCCGGGTTTTCTACACTAGCTACATAGATAGGTCGTATCCATTTGCTTTCCGGAGGAGAATTCTAACTGCTTCTCTGATCGGGAGTTGCCCGTTGTTTCTCTGACCAATGCCAGGTGAATGCCGCAGCCTAACAAACGCGTTTGAGACACGTGCGGCTACCGCGAGCGATCTTTCCTTCCTCTTCCTTGACCTATCCTCACCACTTACTCATACACACTTACACGCACTACTCTACTACACATGCCGGGAGTGGTCGGGAGCTTCGGTCTTATACCGGTTGGGGCGGGGCTTCGCTGGTGGGAGATACCTGGTAGGGGAAAACCACGTTATCCATCCGAAAGTCGACGCTAGATCTCACCATCCGAAAAAGTGATAAAGAACAACCGAAGAAACAGAATAACAGAAGAAGTAGAAGAATAAAGAGAAATTTTAAAAAAAGTCGTTGACTTAGTCTCATGGAATTTCTCTCTTAAGAAACCCCAGCAGTTGGCAAGTACCATCGATCCATGATACATGATAGACATCTCTGGGGGAAAGAAAGTTGAAGAACGCGTTCGTAAGTAGGTATACTTGTAACCTTCAAGTAGCAATTATAGATTTCATTTTAGCGTCAGCCTGCCGAGATGAGTTCAAAATAAATAATCGACATATTCCAAATATTCGATGAAGCATGAAAAGAATACTGGCGCGCAGCGTGTCAGTGGTGGCTTTATAGCACCGAGGCACACGGCTTGACCCCGAACTGAGTGATTTCCAAGCTCGGACACGAGACCTTCCTGACGTAAAATAGTCGTAAACGCGCCCGCCCGTACTACCTTCCTTTATCACCGATCTGACAGAGAAGTGGCACCGCCACGGTTATTTAGTGCGTCCGAAGTAATTCACGTATCTTTTAACTCAAGATCCAATATGAATAATGGAAGCAGATGTCAAATTACGAAATGAAATGAACTACGGTGAGAGAACTGAAATCCTTATATTGTACTTGTGTAACCTGCGTCGGTCTGTGTGTCAGTGCGTCACTCACAGTTAGACTCCTTCCCGTCGACCAATCGAGACAAATATGTGTCATTTGACGCGCTTCAGTCTCTTGATGGCGAAATGGTGATTTGTCGTCGAATCCATGCAGACGATTCTACGAAATTTCCAAATGCGTATTTTGGGGCTGCAATCTTGCGGTAGCCGCACAAACCACGTCATGGGGACGAGCCCATGCTTCCGAAGCCATGCTCACACACGGCGCCTCGAAAGACACCGTAACCGTAATGACAGCGAAATGTGACACCAATGAGGCGATGAATGACAGGTTGGTGTCGGTGTATCGCACGGACGCCGCCGCTGTTTACATTAAGCGGTATAGGGCTTCAATCAGTCGGAAGGAAAAGCTTAGCGTTTCCATACCCTAAGATAATTATCGTTTTATAAGATAATTTTATGTGTAGCATATACGATAGTGCTAACAGGATACACTCCTTCCTACAAAATTATATTCTAATAAATGAAATTATAAATATCCATTTATAAATGTTGGACTGGATGTGAAAATAGTGAATCAAGAGACAAACGCGAAGAAGCACATATACTACATTCCGATTTAAACGTAATGGCATTTAATTGTCACTAGCTGTCAGAGGGGCGTGGGGGACATTGTCCTCCAATCGGGAGGTCCAATACCAAAATTTAAATCGTAACGAAGGTCCCGATTGGATGGAAGTTTAGCCCTCTCAGTCCAGCTCGTAACTTTGGTGTGTCAATATGTTTAAATCAAAGTTTAGTAGTAAAATTAATTGAAAAAAAACAGATGTGCTCATGTATTACCTCTCCAATGTTTCACTTTCCTATCGCCACTCCAAAATCCTCTCTCGGCACTATCGATCTCGCTGATTAGAGAAGTAAATATTACCTCTCTGCTCGAATCACTGAGTTTTAATTTACTTTCACTATGTTTAATGTTATTAACATAATTAAATCTCGTGTGCTTTACACAAAAATATCCTCATTACTTCATGATAAAAAATAGCACTGGAATGAAATGTTATATTTATTTGAACAATACAGATGAAGTGAATAAAGGCAGTGATTTTCCTTATTTTGAAGTTCTGGAATAAAGAATGACTCATGGAAATAATTACTGAGGAGTGTGAAAGAGATTATTGTTTCGACGTGTTTTGAAGTTTTGTTGAAAATAAAAACTTTGTGTTTTGAAAATAAAAACTACGATAAATAAGAGTAACATACGTACCTTTTGGGATAAATGTAATTACTTCTTGATGATGGATGGATATTTTGCTGTTCAGTAGATACTCATAGACTTGCGTAGCCTAAAACAAGAGGGGAGGAAATTACTACGTATCTGACCCTCTCCCTAGGCAGTCTTTTCCGTTAAAAACTAATGACATTTTACAAGAAAATAAATTGTAAAACATGCTACAGGGATAATTAAATTATAACTTTTATTATGATAAATTATTAATTATCACAATTAATTATTAAATGCAATTGATTTTACGTTGAATAATTTAACAGGGATGCCAAATGGTTAGGAGTGCCTCTTCTCCATATGAGTATGAATTTACGACATTGACAAATTAAAAAACGGGAAAATAATAAATTAGTTATATTTTCGAAAATAAATTTTTTATTCTGTGAAGTGACGGTGCACTTTTTGAAATTTTCATGAATTGCATGCTCTCTGTCCCTTGCTATGTGCACGACTGTGGCAGAAAGGCACATAAGACGCAATGTTGTTAAAATGACTCCTTGCCACTAAATCAATCCTTGGTCAAACCACATCGCTATTAATTCGTTCTCAAATGCAATTAATTGTAGTTGATATGAAGAGGTACTCTAGGAAGTGAAACAGTAGTGTATTGAATCGGGAGTCTACAAACTTGAAATGCAGTTAGGAGAATATTTTTGTTTGTAGAGCAAGTAAATTCAGCAATGTATAGACATATGTTTCTTTGGCAGGAATCAAAGGGATATTGGTTTTTAGGGAGATGCCGCGTCGTAGACAGTATTGTCAAAACAGTATCTGAACAGTACTACACTACTCAATACTTCTGGTAATGTTTCATCAAAATTCGAAAGTACAACAAAAATGTTTGCTTTTAGTAGAAAATGTTTCGCGACTTTAAAAAAAAATTTCGCTTAAAAAATTTGTGAAAATATACTTGCGCTAGTCGGTCAAAAGATTGTATCTACGCACGGTATATGTATTTTCTCATTCATTTTCAATCAATCATTTGCATTTCTTCGAGTGTCATATATGTGCAATCTAGCTAGTTATCATTATCCGCAGTAAGTCGCATGCAAAATTGAGGCCACCAAGATTAATAACTCTTGTCAAAGGTTATACCTCGTGCAAGTACGAGTATGTATTAGAGGTATTAAGGAATATGTGGTATACGTAGAGATGTTTAAATTCGAGGAATTAAAAAAACAACAAAGTTTCGAAGAATGACTCAACAAAACGTATCTTAGATAAAACTATATTTTTAAGATGCCTTTCGAGTTTTATGCAGTACTATGAAGGAATAAATCACATCCCTACAAATTAACAACGATTTCCGTATACAATATAAAGCTACTTCAAAACACCTTACTCAGTAACCGATCTTATACGAGATTGTAAGTAACGTAATATTTCTGCCAATGCTTAGGGAGGTAAAGTATGCGAATCCCCTTAATTTCGCAGCAACCTTTCACCTTCACTGACAACGAAACAAACAAGCCATGCCTCCGGCGTAACGGCTTGTCAAAACACGGGTCACAGCGAGGTGCCTCGGAAAAGGCTTAAAATAGCTGGCAAGGCAAGATCACTTCCTTAAAGAAGATGGTGCTGGGCGTCGGATTTGAGGCCTGGCAGGGGCGGGGGAGTAGGCTGGGCGGCGCTGCGGTGGGACTTTGGGAATTGAATGAAAATGGAATGTCGGAAGGTTCCTCGAAGAAGGAAACGAGATGAGGGAGTGGAAAATAATGCGAATTGTAAATGCGGAGTAAAAGCAAGAATAAGAATTACACGTTTTCATTAGGTTGGGTGGAACGTGGATGAATGGAAATAAGAGTGGTGCACAAAATATTATATTTCGTCTAAAATGCTGAAAGACATGTAAATAAACTGAGCAAATGTGTGTATCAAGAAGTGTGTGCAAGTAGGTTGGATTTAAAGGAAGTGGGACGAAAATGATGGCGATGACAATCGAAGACAGATAAAAAAGAGAGCAAACGATCCACGAAGAGACAACTCGAATGCCACGTTCTGCTAAGGCTATGTATGACATGTCCATGTATCCCATATTGGGACGGGAGAAGAAGGGGTTGGAAACGAGGGATCCAGACAGGAAACGAGAGATACAGTCGTGAAACGAGAGACCCGGACGGGAAACGAAAATACTGGAACGGGAAAGGAAACGAAAGTCCGGGACGGGAAACGAGAAACCAGGTCGGGAAAGGAGACACCACGAGAGACTAGTACAGGGAACGAGTCCAAGACGAGAAGACAGAACGAGAGCTAAGGCCGAGAGGCGAGGCCGAGAGGCTAGGCCGAGAGGCTAGGCCGAGAGGCTAGGCCGAGAGGCGAGGCCGAGAGGCTAGGCCGAGAGGCTAGGCCGAGAGGCTAGGCCGAGAGGCTAGGCCGAGAGGCTAGGCCGAGAGGCGAGGCCGAGAGGTGAGGCCGAAAGACAAGGGGGATGGACGAAGGCAGGAGGCGCCAACAAGCACGCGAGGGGGAATGAGAGCGAGGAAGAGGAGGAGGAGGGGGAGGGGGAGGGCCCAAGGGAGCTGAACCTCGGGGTCGACGTCCGAAAAGCGTAGTCAGCACCAGCGGCCGTCCGGGGCGCAGGGCGAGCGGCGGCGCCTGGCAGCAACTGGCGCGGGATGTTGACGCAGGGAAGGGGCCGCGCGGCAAACAAGCGCGGGCCGCGGGCAGGCGCCGGGCGGCAGGCGCCGCTCGCCGTGGAAAAAGCAAACAATCGTGCGTGAAAACGGCCTGCATGAACAATCTCTAATGAAACAGGACGGCTATGACAGGTGGCGAGCGTCCAGGCCGACGGACAGGTGGGGCGCGGGTGGGGCGGCCTTCTCCCCACGCGTCGGGAAGGCTGTGAGGCATTCGCAGGATTATAAACACTGGGGTCAAGGGCGCAAAGCTTGTTGAGAAATTCAGCGGAGAGAGAGAAAAGAGGGGGAAGGAAAATGTATGAGAAGTAGTAAAATGATGAACGTGGCGAGATTCAAAAATACGTCTAAACTGAAAAAAACAATTCTAGATTAGCAGAAATAAGGGAAAACGGAGGCACGAGAGAAGGAACAAAAATGAGGGAAAAAAGTGAATATACGTCAGGAAAGTAAGTTTGCCCAAAGTTAAACATTTACCCAATTGTTTTCTGTGCAATACAAAGATACTTTGGCATATCTGTGAATGAAGGGACATTGGTATTGTAAAAAGAAACCCTAGTTACATGTTTGATTGATTCATTATTTCGGTTCCAGAAAGCGTCAATTTCTATAGTTATTAGTGCCGGGTGGTGCGCATGGTGAGATCCGGCGCCGACCCATACGTTGCTTACAGTTTCCCCCCCTCAACCGATGTGCCCGGCGCCGCGCTGCACCAGCCGAGCAAGCTCATATGTGGTAGTGTAGTGCATGTACATGTGAGTGTGTGTAAGTAAGGGTGAGGATAGGACAAGGAAGAGGAATGAAAGATGGCCGTTTGTTAGAGTACTGCTCCGGCATTCGCCTTCCTTGATTGCAGAAAACACGGAAAACTGCTGATCTGGGCAGCCGGCAGCTAGAATACTAATCTAGATTGAAATTGACTTCGCTCTAGCTATGTAGCTATTGTCGAAAATGCTGCCACCGTCGGGACACGAACTCTAGGTCCTCCCGGTGAGAGACAATGTAGTGACATCAGTTGATGCTTCGAGCCGCCTAATTCGGTATACAATTGAACAAACAGAACATTAAACAGAACAATACTTTTGTTCGTTTCTGACAGCTTTTTAAAGATCGGGAACACTCAGCCGCCTAAGTCGGTATGCATTTGAACAAACAGAACATTAAACAGAACAACACTGTTGTTCCTTTTTGACAGTTTTTCTAATGATCGGGAACAAAAAAAAGAGCACGCACACGAGCGAGCGAGAACGGGGAAGGAAGTGAACGAAGACGAACGGAACAGTTGTGCAACGCGACGTGCGAGGCTGCATGTGGGTTAGTGGGCTGCGAGCCGGCGCGCATCTGCCGCGCGAACGCTGCACCCAACTGTACAAACGTTTGCGGCGAGACCTGACAAGGGAGAGGAAGGGAATGCAGCTGCCAGCCAGGGAGACTGGAAGTGATCAATTGACAGACATTCTGCCTAACTGCAAGGGAAACATGCAAATGCTCTGAACCACAATTCCCTTCAGCCGCAATCGATACCGCAGCCCCATTCGATACATCTGCTGCCTCGCTCTAGAGCTTATCGATATAGAACATATGGACGTGATTTCCGAGGTTTAATTTTTGACCCTCGTTGTCGAGACTATTCAAGCCACGTGGATACCTGTGAATCGTACATTTTGGCAACCAATAAACAACTTTTATGGGCAGTAATATTACATAACATTTTGCGATAATGTTCTTTAATATGGCAGGTAGCATCGTCCAGTTTCTGCGCTTAGCACATCTAAAATATTATCAATAGGTTAAATGAAATAGGTGTCAGGAACTCGAACATCTAAAATATTATCAATAGGTTAAATGAAATAGGTGTCAGGAACTCGAACACCTAAAATTGGTTATATAGAGCACGCATTACGAGAAATCATACAAAATAAACATGACGTATGTAACAAGATCATCGATCTATTAAGAAACAAATATATAAATTTAGCTTACAACATAGTGCGCAGGTCAATTACCGTAGTCATGTGATTTTCTTTATGTGTTCTTACGCATATATTTTAATCCACTCGTTAGACTCTTTTTCTTAATCGGAAGCCAAATGGTTGTTGAAATAACATACCTTAGTTACAAATACTTGAAAATCTATCTGTTCTAATTATTTATTCACAAAAATAGAAATTTAAATGGCGCAGAGTATTTGAATACTATACCTCGTTAATGTTCACATTGATATTTAAGTAACATTTTGACATCTGTATCATTCCAACAGTGAAAGTAGGACGTTTTTCTCTTCGATGTTCCTAACCGTTGATTGCTGCAGAGCGATGAATTCATGGTGGAAAACAGACTTCTCCGTTTTTCGCTGTAGTCGTTTAAAGCTCAAAGCTATCAGTGGATAAACTGGCATGAGATTACAAAATGTAGAAAGTTCT